TTTCGGACAGGCAGTATTCGAACCATGCCATCGCGTAATAGCAGCGCGAGACATGGCACTTATACCGACTGAGCTAACTCGGCGACCAACTTCAAGGTTGTTAGGCTGCATTGTTAAATAAAATCATTTAAAAGAAAAAATAAAAAAAATAAAGAAAATGAAATAATTTTGGTAAAGAAATAAAAAAATTGGAACGAAATAAATCAAATTTTTAATCAAATGTTTTGAGGTAAGTTTTCAAAGTTGTTAATTAAATATTTGTGACGAACAACGAAAACTAATTATTATAATTTAAAGACTATTCCATTAGAATAATCATCAAATTTCTTGAACATGAACATGGTATGTGACTCAGCACATTTCAGTGCAATCTCCCTGTTGTACAAAGTTAAAAACAAAACATCATTTGATGTTGGAATGGTCCTCTAGTTAATTTGTGATAACATCGTAATGAAGTATACAAAATAATGGCGGTCAAGGAAACAATTATTTGCAGATCGAAACTAACAATGTGGAACACTATGGAAGAAAATGTTCATGCGACAATCATGAATTACATTAACGTGGCAGTTCTTCATTGGAGGCGTGAAGACTTTCGACCAAAACGGATGTACGTTGGATGATGTTCTCAGTTTTATTGCTTTAGGAAATCAGAATTTGACAAGCGCAAATTTTATTGCAGGATTAGTTGGGGATGTTGAATACAACCTGCCAGCGAATGAAGTAATTTGAATTTTGGAGGTTCTTAAAGAAGAAAGAACTGTATTGCGAACATGTCATCATGCTATTCAAGATATTCTGTGTTGTGCTGATTAAAAGTTTGTAAAGATAATGAAATGATTACAATCCATTGACAGGAAAAATATTCAATCAATAATATTTCAGCTAATTGAAATGACTGACAACAAAATAGACTAAAATATGATGTTTCATTATTGAGAAATGATTGGGAAACACACAAATGGAACACAAACTACTGCCAGCAAACTGATCCTTGTCCATCCGCATAACTTTCGTTCCCCGCAGTTATCTTTAACCGCCCATGCTATCAATCAACAAAGGCATCAATTTAATTGCACTAAGAGGTATTAAATTTTTGATGCTATCTCTTTAAAAAATGACCGCATTTAAAAAAACTTTTCCTTTCAAAGATGTTGCGGTTCATCTTGAACATTAAGTTTGATCTCCATTTTCCTGGGCAGTATATTGAAATTTGGAAAAAGTTTTCAAAGAATTATTTTTTGAAAACTAAAATTAAAATTAACCAATTAATGGTTAATTTTAAATTCCGCTTTCATTCATAAATATATATCCAATATATTTAAATATATCATAAGTAATCTTAATAAGAAAAACTAATGTGCATAAATCTGTATATTTGATTCGAATGCTTAGAATGGTTTTCCAGTGTGTACAAACGAGTTGGATTTGTTACGAGTGCGATTGGATTGTTACAAATGTTCATATTAAGAGGAGAGTGTTGGTGCTTTCATTGAATGATGGTTCTTGATGAAGTATTAATGATTTATTTGTTGTGCATCGTCTTGAAATTGATTTTTTCCACCAACTACAGTTTAGAAACGTATTTATTTTAAATTTTGACAGTATAATAATAATTACATGAAATGAAAAATTTCTTCTCTTTTTGTGCAGTGCAGATGTTTATTTTGTTTTGAGGTTAATTAAAACAGTGAAAACTAGTGCAATGAAATACAAGAAGTTAAAAAATTACTAGTACAAACCACCTTCAACTAAATCAAAGTTTGTGTTATTTTTTTTGCTTGCGTAACTTAAGAATCACTATTATACAACACAAATCCTCTCTACAAGGAGCATATAATAATTTTAAGAAAGTCTTCAACATAATAAAGATTGAAATGAAATGAATTAAGAAATAAAAAAAAACATATTAAATATTGGTTAGACGTTTTACACAGCCTTGCTGAATCGGTTTTTTGGGCATTTGTTCTGAAGCTAGCAAATTCAGCCCCAAGCATAATACATTCAACCAGTTGAGCTTTTAAGTTTATTCAATGCACTATTACGCTATTGCACTCTGGCAAGAAGTTTACAACTTACGAACTGTAAAAAATCTATAAACATATAAATTGAATTATTTCGCTACTTTATTCTCTGCAAATTAAAACATGTGTAAAAACATTTAATTAACGTTAGAATTGAGTTTTAATTTGATCTTAAATAAAAAGTTAAAAACACAAATTTTTTGAATAATATTTAAAATAGACTAAATTAAACGAAATGAACATAAAATAAAATAAACCTGAAGTCTAAAGACGAGAGACCAAATAAACCTCAGATAGAAACATCAGAGAAAATGAATGTTAAGAAAATTGAATTATACGATATGCTGTCAGACAAAATGATGGAGGACCTTTGAATGAACGTGGTGACAAAATTATTGAAACATTAGCTGGGAAGAAAGATATTTTTTGTTACAAATTTTGGGTTAATTTTTTCGTATAAATTAAAATAATAAGTTTTTTAATGAAATTAAGTATATGTGGTCTAACAGACAGAAGCATACAAGTTTTCATTAACATCAGGTGGAACAATGGGATTGAAAATTTATAAATAAAATGGGTGAAAGAATGTGTGATCAAATAAACAAGTGGGCAGATAAATAAACGAACGAATGTATTCACGTGTTGTTGTACGCGTATTACTTCGTTAAAACAAACTAAACTTATAAAGATGTGTGCCCAAATTTGACATGCACGTGTCAAGAATCACAAATAAACTTCTTCTCTTCTTATGATAAAAAAATATTTGGCCTGGGAAGTCTTACTAATGTTTAGTTTTCTGGTGTTATGCTCTTTTCTATTACACTCTAATACTGTTGGGTTTCTTTGACTGATCACATTTGGTGATGATGTTGTTTTTTGATGTTGTTGGTGTTTCATGATCGTACTGTTCATGTGGGTTATTTTGCTGGTAGTTGTTAATTGTTGTAGCTGATTGCTAATGTATGTTGTGTCTGCCAACTGTTAGTAAAATTTATAAATTGTTAATGGCATATGTTCATTTTGTTTATATTTCTATTTTTTTGTAAGTTAGAGTTAATTGAATTTGTTTATCTGCTTCATTTTCACTTACTAGCTTTTTATTGGCTGACGATACATTTTAATGCTTAATACCTATTTTAATATCTATTTGTGTTTTTATCACACGGAAAAAATTAAAAATTTAATTGTTATTGTTTTCATTGCTCGTTATTTAATTGAAAAGTTAAAAAATAATTTAATGGGCATAAATTAAATAATAAGCTTGCATCAGGATTTCTTCGCGTAAGATCATTTGCCAGGCAGGTTCACCTTGATGCGTTCGGTACTGTTGGAGTTTCAATTTCACAAGTTGTCTTCATATTTGTTGATGCGTGTTGGATTATTTCGAACTTCATTGAAAACATGTTCAAGTGTTTATGATTGACGAGATGAGACTTTCAACTTCGAAATGCATGTTATATATTTTGCTTAATTAATTTTATTAACGTATAATTAGCATTATACTCAACAGTAAAATTTTATGGAGCTTAAATAATTTTTTAGTAGATCTATAAATTGAAAAAATGTAAATAATAAAAATACAACCTTGAATCTTGCTATAGTATGGAAAAAATTTACAATTTCTGTTTTACAAATTTTTTCTTAGACTCTAAATTCTGAAACAAAAGTTAATAAAATAGTGAACCAAGCTGTAGGTAATAAAAACTTTCTAAGATTTTTTTAGCTCCGCCAAAAAAATTTGTGTTGTTCATTTACGTACAAAATTTTTCCCTGGTTCCAACTTTATTATAACAAATTTAATCTCAAAAAACGTTTGATTCATCATGTTTTTTAGATGACAAAAATATAAAATTCTGAGCGAGCAAAATATATCAAAACTTTTTCAAAATTGTAAAGCTTTTTACAGAAATTTCTGAAAGATAGGTATTTTCGTGGACAAAATTTTTACGAACAGTATCCTGATTATCTTTTATGTAAAGCAAGTGGTGTTTATTATTAACACACTTGAATCAATTTAATTTGGTTGTTTGTTTGCCGGGGCTGACTTGCTCCTGTGTTTTAGGAACGTTGTAATCGAAAACTTCGTGTTGTCTGATTATGCTAAATATTTGGTATAAAACCTCATTTACGATGGCAATGAATGATTGAATTAAATGACTTAGAGTGATTCAATAAATTAAAAAATAAATCAATAAAACTAATTAACATATCCTCTTTCGAAAAAATTATGTCCGTATTTATATCGTGCAATGATTTTGTAGAATAGTTTAAGGTGGGTTTTTTAAATTTAAAATGCTCTAGTAGATAAATGTTAAATATTTCAAATAAATGAGTTTTATTATTTTGATTTTATAAAGCAGACGTCTGAAAGTTTGCGGTGTCTTTTTAATGCAAGCCGAAAATGTTGCAATTAATTCCAAAATTCGAATTCCAAGATTTTTTTCTTCAACTCGTTATTCAACATTTTTATTTAACTTCAATCAAATAATTTGTGCTATCGAATTCCACAAAAAATATATCATAAGTTTCTATTCAGCCCACACAAGACGTCGTCGGCAAAAATGTTTCATCTTCATTTTGTAATCTCTCATTTCTCTAAAAGTGCCAACCTTTGTCATAAAAATTGATGCACCTTAATAATAAATATTGATAAAAGTGGCCCTAAAAGTTTAAAAAAGACAAACTAAAACAAATTATGATAGTGAAAGACGTGTCAAGAGCAATTTTAGTCATTGAATAATAAAAATCGTTCAATAATAATTTTACTAAAACACTAATATTAGAAAATGAAAAATAAATAAATATAAAATTTGTCACTCTATATTTCTAGACGCACGCACACACGCATTAAACCGTGTTATTCAAAATTAGGTTTGCACATTATCGTGATGCGAATTGATTACATGGCATTAGTGGGTTAGAGGTTATTATTTGAATTTGAATTATCTCTCAACTATTCAATCACATTTTATAAACATGTTCGCATTGATCAAGCTTTTGTGGAACTCGAGTTATCGGAGTCAATTAAAAATGTGTCCGACTGTGACACCCGGTGATGCTCATACTCATCCGTTCACTTACTGTTTTCAACCTATACCACAATGTTCTTTCTTCTTAACAATTTATATCAATATTATAGTGACCAAAACTATAGCCCAAAAGGAGAGCTTCGAAGCCTCACTCTCTACCAAAACTTTTGTTTGTTAATATGTATTTAGTATTTTTATGGTATATATCTACAACAACAAAGTTTTTTAAAAAATTATTGTGAATAAAAATAAGACGAGCAAAATAAAATCATTAACTTTTGCACATAACTAATTATTTTTGACACGCAGCTGCTAATTTATAACCGGAGAACCATCACAATAAATTCAGCCAATATCAGCTCATGATCAGACAGAGCTGGTGGTAAAATTTCAACCGCTTTTATATCTTTGTTCACTTTGGTAATTGTAAAATCTAGGGTACCTCCCGGAGCGTGTGTTGAAGCTAGCACCTGTTGCTTGTACCAAAAGACGTTCATCAACGTTTTGAATGAGAATCTGGTTCGTTCTCGAAATAAGTTTTAGGATTTTAATTTGTTCCTATCTCGCAGAGCATGGACGACAGCACTGAAAAATAAACATAATCTGTTCAGAAAAAGCAAAATCTGGCTGACAGTGGTTTTATCAAATATCAAAAATTCTGAGGGGCCATGGAAAGTTATGACAGCACTGCTAGAAAAAAATGCAACATCTAAATCAAACAAAACCTTTTATGAAGAGTATTTGAGACACATTAATAAAAAAAATCAAAACATATTAATGCAAAACTAATGTCATCAATGCCAGAAACGTTGTGATGTTGATCCTTCTTAGATTTTTGAATGAAGAATTTTCTGGTATTCTGATACCATATTTATGCACATTATGTCGCGCATCACTGCAGTATTCATCTTTACCAGAAAATCAGAATAAGGCTATCATACTGCCAAAACTCAAAAATGTTGGTTCAAGAGGTGACGCCTAATTTCAAATCTCCCTGTTGATTCAAGACTCTCTAAAAAATAGTGGCAAAACTGTTGGTTGCATATCTGAAAGCAAAAAGAATTTTTTCTTGGGCTTCAATCAAATTTTTGTTTTGATCGGTAACCTAAAACAACAATTATAACAGCTTTCAAGACTATAGATTTTGTTAGTGTTTCTTTGCTAGCTCTACTTGACTTCGAAGCTACCTTTAATACGGTCAGTTGTAAACTTGTTCTTGTTCGGCTTGCTGCGTCATATGGTGTTGGTGGAAAGGTTCTTGCTTTCTTTGAATCTTATTTAATTAATAGACTGTTTCTACAGCGGCTGATAAACAAAAGCTCAGATCTTCAAAAAAACTTCTGATAAACAAAACCTCAGATTTTCCTAAAAAAAAATCTTGTTTTTTAAAATTTCAGAACAGAAAACTATGAACGACGTTGTTTCTCTGTTGTTGCAGCAATAGTCTGAAATAGACTGCCTGATGACGTAGTAAATCTTATGGGGGGAGAGAGCATTGCTATTTTGCTTGCCAGCTTTTCGAACAATGTCTTTGAGTTCAAAATAGACGGATGCTATATAGATGACCAATTCTAATAAAAAAATCTAAAATTAAATTTTGAATTTATACCAAAGTTCTAACGCTTTGTACTCAGACCAAAGTGCAAAAATGATTGCCGAAAAAAAATTGTAACGATGATACGGTATTACTTTTTTAGGAAAAATATAATTAGATGTGTAAAACAATAGTACTGAAACTTTTATTTTGTAAAATGCTATAACTGTTATCATATTGGTCAGAACAGTTTAGCGCCATATAAAATTCTCAATTTTTGACTTAACAACATTTATATATTGAATGAAGAGTTATTTAGATGCGATGCTTAGTTAACCGCAGTAATGACTGGGTATTAATTTGTTAACGATATTAGTTAATGAATTAGGCTGCTAATCATAATGATCGTGGTCATGGTCAGCCAATTATGTGTGTCAATCAATTATGTTAATTATGTCGGTTAGCCAAATATTTATTGGGTCAGTTAATACGGTTACGAATTATGTGATTCAGTCAATTTGGTTGCTAACTATGCTGGTCAGCCAATTTGGTTAATAATTATTATCACAAACACTATCATAACGCTTTTCATAAGCAATTAATCAAGGTGTCCAAGAAATGTTAAATATCAAGTTCAAAACTCCGTCTTCTTTATTCGCATGTGGTTTATAGCGTCGCATCAAATGAGATGATTGCTGGTGCTGCCATTGAACGACCAATCGGATACTCTGACATGTTCAAGCCATGAACTATCTCTGGTAAGCACAATCAAATATTTAACATCGATTCGCAGTCGAAGAAATTTGGTTGCTATGCTGATGCTAATTATGGGGATCATTCATGCATTGGAAAGCAAAGTCAGTAAAGTTAGGTTGCCAATTATGTGGCCAGCAAATTAACAGCTGCCGACATTTTATACATTATGTAGGTGAACCATTTGCTTGTAATGTTGTTTATTCACACGCACGAACAAAGTGACAATCATTAGACTTTTTGAACCTCCGATACGTCAATTGTTACAATGAAATTTTCATGATGATATAAGTAATTTTTTTATTATTCATAGATATTTATGTGTTTCATTAAATAGCTCATTTGAACGTATAAGCTAATATAAATGTTGATTTGTTATCTTGTGTTTGAAAGACATTTTTTAAACTTCTAGCATGTTTCATATGCTAATGCAATTAAAAAAACTGATGATGACAAATGATTGTTAAAAAAAAGCTCTTCATGTTATAGTGTATGCATATATATTCAAACGAAAATGCAAAAAATGAATAAAAAAAATTTTTTGAACTGAACAAACTTTTTGTACAAAAAATTGGAAAACTCAATTGCAAATTGAGCAATGCCTGCATGTCAGATTGTCTCAACGCAGTTACAAAATAAATTTTTCAATAAAAAGTCAAGAATTATTAATTAATTAAATAATTTATTCATTTTTATTTATTTATACAATTTACTTTTGAACAAATCCCATAGGATAATTCTTAACATACGAAATGTAAGACTAAGCTGATTTAGACCAATATTCATGCCAACACAAATTTCATTACACATTACATACGAAAAGCGTGAAATTATAAAAACAAAAAAATTTTAAACAAATAATCTAAAAAAAGAAACAAATCTGCAAAAATAATTTCAATTCAAGATTTTTGTCCAATAATGTTCAGGATTGTGTTACCACATTACCATCACTAATGAAATAACGCAGCACCAGCTTCACAGACTTCAGATGACCTGCTTTTAAGTTTGGCAGGCAAGTTGAGTGGCTTATTGGAGGTTTGATAGTGCTAAATTAGTAACATGCATTAATGTTACTTTCTTCGTCTAATTTTTACTCGTTTTCATGTTTTAAAAATGTTTTTTTGCAAAAAATACGAAAAATTAAGATAATTTATTATAATATTAAACACTCTAGAATACAATTGATGTAATAACTTATTGTGTATATCATTATTTTAAAAAATTACTCACCTTGATAAATTTGAATATAAATGCAATATTATCAGGCATTAACTGTAGACCGACTGCTTTCCCTGACAGCAGCGTCTGTTTACGATCCCACCTCGTTCTTCGTTGTAGAAAAACAATTATTATAACGGCTGATGGTTTTGTAAATGCATTTGCATAATGTAGTAATGAGCGCTGTTGGATGAGGAATTCTTATTTTATTCGCTTAAACATTGTTTGCGCCGAGGACGTCTTCAATGCAGCTGCACGAGGAACAAACAAATCATGAAAATTGAAAATGCTGAACAAGACGTTCGTATAACGAGCAGTAATGTACAAACCAGTCAACAAACACGGACAACCAACATGCAACAAACTACAACCATAAAAATCAAGCATTAAAACACCAACAAATACAACAATGTTAAACATAATAACATTGAGAGAAAGGCAAAAAACCGAGACACCAAAACAATAAACAAACAAGCAATCGCAACATTTAAACAACATCAAAAACACCTACACAAACAAAAAACAAAACTATAAACAACTCTTTAAAAATTGTTAAGAATGCAACAAGTAACGATAAAAAACAAACAAGCAACAGCAGAAAGCAACAAAGTTATCCAGAGTGGGAACATCGCAAGTGAATGTGCCTCAATGACTGGTCGTTTGTTTTGATTTTCTGTTCTGATATGTGCCGAACATACTGTTCTTATTTATGTTTATTCACATCGAGTTATTTCGTTCTTGTTTATTATCTTTGTGCAGGGAATTCTGTGATTAAATGTGTTGCTTGAGCTGCTTCTCTGGTAATGTACGCACATTCACAGTGTTACAATATCTGCTACGTTATACAGCTTGATTTCTGCATTTGTTTCAGCATTGCTGACCAGTGTTATACCCATGTCCCTTTTCGCATGTTAATTATCAAATTTGAAATCTTGAAATCTATTATAACAATGAAACAACCAAGCAAACAGCCCAAGTGAATTTTAATTTGAAATGATTCAAGTAATATATTCATTGAATTTGGCAATTGAATTTGTAGAGAGATATTTATTTTTACACAACGGAAACCTTACTGTAAGTAAACCTGCTTGAATATCATAAGAATATTTCTTTACAGACAGAAGCATCGAAACAAAACTCTTAGTTTGTAGCAACCATACAATGAATCTGTGTGCAGTGTGCAGTGTAAACACTAGTAGACACTGTTGTGCGATTTATTCAGCGACGGTCTAAGGATATGATCTACAATCCGGCATGAAACATCGTTCTTTGTCCTGCCTAGCGTCCACACCGTAATATGAATTTCTCATTGTCGTTTTTGTAACCTATCGTAAAAACGAAATAAATTTTCTGAAAATTGTTTGAAAATTTTTAAATTTTCATTTACTTAAAATAAAAATAAAATAATCCACATGAGAAAATTGAAAATAAACAAAATTCATTCAAAAAAACTTTTAAGAAACTAAACTAAAATTGAACATGAAGCAAAAAAAAAACAATGGAATAAAATTGTTAAAAAACCGGTTTTAAAAAATTTAATAAAAAATTCAAATAATATTTTGAACAATTACGCGAACAACGTCGCATGAAAATTCTAACAAATAATGAAACATTAAATGAAATATTAAAATAAAATTTGAAAAATTAAAAAATTAAACCACTTTGAAAGAAATAAAAAAGTTTTTCGTTCTTGCAACAAGCCCTAGACTAGGTGTGGTCTAGGGATATTTCAAAGTTTTACAATTCTTTGTGTGTGCAAAGTGCTAAGAATTTCTAAATTTTTTGACCAAAGACAAACATGAACACCAATGATTTTTTTATTAATTTTAATAAATTGGATAATTATTATAAAATTACTGCAAAAAAAATTGTAAAGCTCAACCAAAGACTTTCATAAGCTAAAAATGCCGTAGATTTTATCAAATGTTGTCTTTATATATATATATATATTGTTATATATATATATATATTGTTATATATATATATATATATATATATATATATATTGTTATATATATATATATATATTGTTATATATATATATGTATATATATATGCCTAATATATTATTGATGAAAATCACAGCATGTTCGGCTTTAGTTAACTTCCTTTTTAACTTTTCGATTTTTCTCACGGTTAATCGTAAATCATTTTCAAGTTTCTTGAGTTCGAAACCAAAATTTTTGTTTATTTTATGCAAGATAGAACAAAAAAGTATTCTTCGGTATTCCTATACCATCTTCGGTGTTCAAATTGATATGTTGTGTATGTGCCCAGATGCTCAAATATATATATATATATTCTAGATTTGTTCAAAGTGAATACTTAACGCTCATTTAATTAGTTTTACAACCTTCAACTTTGTTCGATATAGCACTTTAACGCGTTTTCATTATCGATGATTCCTCTGTTTCTAAATTTATTGGTAGGAAGAATTCCAATTGCTCTTTGTTGAATATTTATTATCGGATGTCTTTGTTTTATGAGTATTGATTCGGCTACTCGTAAATTATAAATGCTTGTCATTGTAATGTAAGACTTCAAAATTGTGATCCAAGATTTTTTTTAGTAATTTTAGTTTTGTGTTTCTCTTTATAGCGCCAGTTTGTCCGTGCATCGTGAGTCTTCTCGATAGCGTGGTCGTCTTCATAACAATATATTCGGAATTATGATGCCCACACTCCTCAATATTACATTTGAACACTTAACAATAATTACATTTCTGACAGTTTTATATATGTATAAATTATATATATATATATATAAATTATATATATATATGAATATATCATCATCATCATCATCATCATCTGCTGTCAAAGCTAGTCACAAAGAGCCTCCATCTTCTTCTACCTTTTGCCATTTTCCAGCTTCGGCGATGTTCGAGTTACTGATTTTGAAGTCTTCTTTGATGTTGTCAGTCCAAGTCTTTTCTTCCATCAACATGGTTGAATATAATATGGCTCTATATGGTAATTTTTCTGAGTTCATCCTGTTTTCATGTCAAAACCAAGTTAATCTTCATTTTCGGATTCTTTCCATTAGGTTGCTCTCTTCACCAAGTTTTCTTCTGATGGTGTCGTTTCTTCTTATTTTTTGTATTCTAGTTACACCCACGATTTGTCTCAAGAAATGCTCAGTCATCTTGTTGCTAAACAATTACAAGATTGATGTAGAGAGTAATATGGATTTTAATTTTAAAGATCTGATAATGAAAATTCTTCTAAAATCAAATCGATTAAATTTTTCAAGCCGTTTTAAAACTTTTTTGTTTGTTCACGAACACTCGTTAATGGTCCAGGACAGTTTGATTGAAAGTTCCATGGAATGTCAAGCCATGCGAAAAGCAATGAAACACCGACCTTTACATAAACACGCAGGTTTATATTTGGATAATGTTTATTAGAAAAACGTGGATCAAACTTTATCGTTCAAAAAGAATGTTTGCAAAAAATCAAAGTGGACCTTTATTAACGTGGAGACCACCTTACTGTAAATTTATATAAAATACATTTTTACAAAAGAAAATACAACTAAATTAATTAATGATGATAAAATTAATAATAATGTAAATAATTTTAAATGCTGGATATAATTTTTTTCACCGGATGTGTTGCTATCTTTTTTGCATATAACAGTAAAAAAAATTAAAATTGAACTTTTGAAGAGATTTTATGACAAAATTGGGATGTTAATGATTACAAGTCAACGATAACTCAGTTGGTAACAATTGCGTTCAGGCTGGATCAAGGATTGGGCTGATAGGGCAGGCTATCAGCAGTTGAGATAAAAAAAACTATCCGATTTTTAAACATTTTTGTTGTATTTTTAACGAAATGCTTGCACAAACATAATGATGTTATCCCATTGGCCATTGTTAATAAGTTAATTATTATTGATTTGTAATTGACAATGAAAATTACAACTGCTCCTTTTTTGGGTGAATTAAATTTATTTGTAACACAAATTTTTTTTTTAATTTGACGTAAAATTAGCCAGCTAATTAGCCTTATTCGGTCTTCATTGTCGTCATTATTACCATCACCATTCTCATCATTCTCTTCATCATATCTACCTTCATCGAATCGATGAATGGATAGAATGATTGATACATGGGAAAACAGCAATCTGATTAATAGTCAGCATCTCAATCTTGCTGAATAAATAGTTCCCGCTAATAGAATTTTACAAATTTTAAATTGAGTGCATGTGTCCGGACAAGTTAGTTTTTCTGTTTCGCGCCAATATTAAAATTATCATTAGATTTACTGATTGTTTTCTTTTAATTCTTCTACTTAGTTGTAGCTTACAGTCATATAACCTCGTTTACTGCTCTGCAACTTGCCATCAACTGCAAAAACAGTAAAAACAACTAACCAGCTTACCATCCACCCAGCCTACTATCCAGCCTACCATCCAGACAACCAAACAGCTAGTTTTCCAGCTAAGAAGCCATTCAACCAGCCAGCCAAGTAGCCAACTAAATAGTCGTAACCAGAAACTCTGCAACTAGCCAGCAACTGCACATATCATCTGCATCGCCACTGCACCTGCTTCCAAAATTATTCACAATTCTTTCAAACGCACCACCGACATAACATCTCCATGACAATCACGTGCACAGGTCACGTGATAATGACGCAATGAAAATAGTGTTAAAAAGAGGGAGGGATGAAATGATGTTCGGCAGATGTTAATTACAATATGTTTTCATTTCAAGTACAGCACTTTCAAAGGAAAATCTCTTCAATGCACATTTAACGTTGCTTGCTAACGGCTCTGTAGTTTTTGTCTTTTGATTTCCTTTGTTTATTTCCCGATCTTTGAATTATATTTAGCTACTCCTGCATGAACTGCTGGCTGGCTGTGAATATATTGAATGATGATAATCGCGTTTGTTGTTAGTTCAACATAATTTTTATTGTTGTTGAGGACGATGTTGTTGTTGATGATGATGATGTTGTTGTTGTTGACGTTGTTCAATGTGTCATTATGAGCGGTAATGCAAATGTTGTTATACATGATGCAGTTGCTTTTGACAACGCTTGTGTTGTTGTTATATTGTTGTGAGCACATCACAACAAAATTTGCAAGTAGGTACATCACAACAACACAACAACAATTGTTTAGATTTGCATGCAGATGTTGTTGCTGTGTTGTGCTGACGTGACTGCAGATGTTGTTTCGATTAACTTGCTGATGTCGTTATGATGTTACTGTGATGTGCATGTAGTCATGTGGTTATACTGCCTTAATTAGTGGAGTTGTTGCTTTTGTGACGATAGTGTTGCTGATGAATTGAGGATAATGAGAAAAATTTATAGATATATTCATTTATTCATGAGAGGTGTAATTGTAAAACTAACCAGAAATATAACCATCAGCATTATCGTGCACGATTTTACAGAAGGACAGCTTACTTTGAGTTTGAATACACAAATTGTCGTGCTTAGTTTAAGGCATTCATGCTTGTAAGAATTTCAGAAATAAAATTACTTTCGATTCGATCAGCAATCTATTTTTTAAACAGCGAACGGCGGCGCTGTGGTTATGAGTTATCTGTCGAGGCGATCATAGGCCTGTGTGCAAAGATTGTAAAAATGTTTATTCGTTATTTCCTTGTGTGCAAACTCGTTTATTCGTTGCGTTTCTAAAAAGCATTGCCTACAAAAAGTAAATTTTGGGGATGTATGATTGATCGATTACTATTGATAGTAAGAGCATTGAAAAACATGACGAGTTGCCCAATTTAAACTTAATTGAATGGTCTAAATTTTCCATAAATTTTGTGACAAAATGTTTTAAATTAAATTTTTTGAGAACATTAAAGGTTAGTTATATTTATTACCATTTGTTTTAAAGACCACGTAGTCATGGTTACAAGCTGAATAAAGTTTATTAGTTCTTTTTAGAATTTTTTCTGTCGGTGAACAATATAGATCACGTGATGTGGGTCAGTTGTGACGTCACTAGGGTCAGGAAGTTCTTTTCTACGTTTGTAGAAATTATTTATTTCGGTGTGTTTCACTTGCGGGTTTATGTGATGTCTTCAACGTTCTTCCATTAGTAACTTGCACTTGAATTACTAGTTTCCTAATTGCTCATCACCACGATGAAAATAATTGCAACAGAAAAAATGTGAAACAATTTTATTAAAGATTTCCTATCAAGAATAAAGATTTCATACTTTTTTTTATAGAAATGGAATAAAATTTACAAAAACTTAAGAGCAAAATAGAAAAAATAACAAAATGTTTTACTCAAGGCATAATATGCAGCAGAAGTAACATAAGATGAGAAACATTATGCGTTGTTCTTCTGTATGCTTCAAAGGTTTCATGCCTGAGCGATTCCAATTGGTGCAATGCGGAATGCAGATACGTAATAAAGAAATAATTTTCTATGCTAGAGAGTGCGTGGCAATCGAACGATGCCTTCCCATTCAGTAGTGTCCTGTCTTTATCCCTCCTTCTGGCCATCCATACAAACGAAAGTAGTCATGTAAATATTGCAAAGAGAACACAAACAAGCGGCTTCTATTTTAAAATCAACATACGAAAACAAAAAAACCTTAGGAAAAACCAATCTAAAACAGAATAAAACCACACACACACACACACACACACACACACACACACACACACACACACACACACACACACACACACACACACACACACACACACACACATATATATATATATATATATATATATATATATATATATATATATATATATATATATATATTGATATATATTGATATATATATAAAAGATATAGGTGATATATATATATATATAGATATATATCATTATTTATTTTTCATTTTATTTTCCAAATAATTATGTTTTTTGATTGAGTTTATTTTTTGAGTATTATTTATTTATTCCAGATTATTTATGTTTGATTGATTAATGTACAAAGTGTTATTTTTCCATATTTTTATTTATTCTTATTTTATTTATTTATTTATCTATTCTAATTAGTTATTTATTTTTATATAAATGTATGTGTTCTTGCTGTTTTTTTTTGTTATTGTATTTTATTATTAGTTAATTATTAGTTGTTATTGTTCTGAATGGTCGCATAAATTGACAAATTTCATAATTATATATATATAAATTCTAAAGACTCAAAAAAGTAGAGACACAGTATATATATATATATGTATATGTACATATATATATATATATATATATATATATATATATATATATATATATATATATATATCTGGCCACATACACAACGAATACCGAAAATGGCACAGGAATACCGAAAAAAGTTTCTTGTTCTATCATGCTTAAAACAAACAAAAACTTTGGCTTTGAACTACAGAATCTTAAAAAAGATCAACCGTTAAAAAAAATCAAAAAGTTAAATTGGAAATTAACTAACCCCGAACATGCTATGATTTTCATCAATAATATATACATATTCAAATTTTGGAGACTGGTCAAGTGGTCATCCTGGTTTTTTCAAGGCTGAGGTTGATAAACTTGCCAAATGCTTAGCGGAGGTAGAAAAATGAATGTCATGTAATTCATTGAGACTCAATCAGTGCAAGACTCAGCTGCCTCCGATTGGCACATGACAGCAGTTGGTAAAATTAAATGTAAATTCCATCAGAGTAAATGAGGTTAACATACCATTCATTCAGGCTGCCACCAACTTGAGAGTTTTGCTTGATAGTAGATTATTGATGAAGGATCATATAAAGATGATATCAGTTTCATGCCTCTCTTGTCACTGGAATTTATATAAAATTAAGCACTGGTTGGACAGATCAACCTTGGAAACTTTGGTGCATGCGTTTGTTACATTTCTGTTGGATTACTGCAACAGCTTGTTGTATAAAACACCTGATAAATCTATTGCTATTCTGCAGTCGGTTCAACATAGAGCTGCAAAGTTGGTTGCTGGTAAATTGAAGTTTGACCACGTTACTCCAATTTTGAATGATTTGCACTGGTTGACAATTGATAAAAGGATAATTTTTAAAGTTGGTGTGATCATGTTCAAGGCTTTAAACGGAATGTCATCAGATTACATAACCAAAAAATTTACCAGAAAAGGGACGGCATCTAGTTTCTGCCTTCGGTCAGATGATACAAATCTCTTAGGGATGCCAGTGACAAGGTTAAAGATTGGATCACGTGGTATTGCAATTGCCGATCCCACTGTGTGGAACAGTCTCTCTGCATTACTAAGTAAACCTGGGTTTCATCTTTCTTCAATCATTTGGAAAACATTTAAAGATATTTTTATTTTCGTTGAAGTTGCACTGAATTTGATTTGGCATTTGTGTTGTTTGTCACGTATATAATTTAATTAAGTTTTATTTTTTGAGGGCGCCTGTGAGAACATTGAATGGACGCTATATATATTGTCCTTAATTATATATGCATATAATTTATATATATGCATATTATGTATGTATATATATATATACACACATATGCAAATATGGTTAAATACTTTGCGTTTTGCGTTAATTAATTTTTTAATAAGATTTTCAACAACCCGAAGCTGTGTTCATTTGTAATTATTAACTAAATGTGTAATTCTAGGCTTCTTTACTGAGAGATATTAATAGGATACTGTATTTTTGAGTGAAAATGGACTCTTTCTGGCTGGCTAATTGACTTGTTGGTTGAGGAAGAGTATATGTCCATTAGGTTGTTTACCTCGGAGCAAATGTTTACTAAATTTGGGAACGAGGTTTTCTTTAATGCAAATATATATATATATATATATATAATATATATATATATATATAAATAAAAATATATATATATATATATATATAATATATATATATAATAAAAATATAAAATATATATATATATATATATAAATTTGATAACGAGGTTTTCTCTAATGCAAATATATATATATATATATATATACATATATATTGTTTATGAAGGTCACATCATTTTCAAAGTTGCTTAATTTTCTATTTAATTTTTCAATTTTTCTTACGATGAATTCCAGTTGATTATTAAGTTTATTTAACTTATACACAAAATTAGTGTGCATGTTTGAAATAGAAAAGCTTTTTTTGGAAATTCATATTTCTATTATCAATGTTAACTTTCGTATTATTTATGTCCTTATATAAGTTATTGTTACTTTGTTCCTATGTTAATAAAATTTTTACGAGTTTTTTGTATCACTTTGTGTGAATTAAAGTTTTTTTATGAGTTCATTGTATCTTTTTGTGTGTCGTCTCAGTAAAGTCGATTTCAAATTTGATAGGATGGTAGCACACCAGTGGCCCTTTTTTGAATATTTATAATAGGATGTCTTTGTTCAATAAAAATACTAATACGTCCAGAAAAAACGTCTTGACAGTTTTAAAACATCTGAGACTTCTTCTTTTAGTCAAAATGAAATCTACTACTGTGCTCTTGACCTTCCCGGATTCATACGTTATTAAATGGTATAGTTTTTTCAACCAAGTGTTGTGAATCCTCATGTTTTAAGGGATTTCAAAATCTAAAATTATCTGACCATCTTAGTTTTTTCTCCACATTTATTTTCACCACTTATTCATAACCATTAAAATTTTTTCAAACATGTTTATTTAAGTCCCTTTCTAAAACTACCATTTCTTTTTCAAAAATATATACTTTCCTTTTAGCCTTTTTATTAATCTGGTCCTTTGATTTCTTCACCAAAATTTTTGTCTGTTATCTACTATATTAAATATCTATTTTTTTCTCAATAGTGCTTCAGTAATTTCTATGCTCTTTCTAAACAATGTACCTACATACCTGGATCCAAGTCTCACACTGACATACTTTTCTTTCCGTAGGAATTGCATGTTAACGTACTGTGCTGCTACGAAATCTCAGCACAGACTGGACGCATTGCTTGCCCTATTTCTGAAAAGGTCACAAACCCTGTCAACGTGGTGATGCCCCAGAAAGATTTGCTTGATGCCAACCTGAGTGACCTCGTGAGGAAATCAAGTCGACTTCTTACTTTTGCCGTGTAGAACTCCAGATACTCAAATGCTTTGGGAAATCTTATGATTTTTTTTAGTGCGTTCTCATACTAGGTTTAGGATTCCACATAACTAGATCGTCGGGTAAGGATCTTACCTTTATTCTAACTCACGTCAAGTAAAGATCTTTACCTTTACTCTAACTCACTCTCACCACTTAACTCAGACTTGGAACTGGCATGTACGACGAGAAGTTTTATTCGTACTTTCGGAATGGCGCTTTTACAACAGCATTCATACATACATGGTGGGGTTATATAAATATATATTTGGTTGAATTTATATAATTTTTCATTCTAGAAATTTCTGTAAATTGTCTAATTTATTAAAATTAAAAATGAAATTATTATCTAAATGCACGTAAGTAAATAAATTGTTAATTTATTCATTTTACACATACAAATCTTTGTACAATAATTTCATATCTTAACATCATATCATGCCAAACATATACACACAAAAATTCTGAAAAATCGAACAATTTCTAAAAATAGTAATGAAATGAAACTGAAAAGTTACATTTATAAAAGAATTTTTTACGAACTCATTGCTATTAAATGTTGTTATGTTTGATTTATTTCTTTAAACTTTGAAATTATTTTGCATAAATCAGTAATCAATTGAGCGTCAACCACTGATAGCCAACTGGTCGACAAAATCATTCCACTCCATCGCACGCTACCCAACTCAAGAATTCAACATTATACACAATTTATTCATTCAGTTGTTTTTTCTTCATTCAATCAAGTTCGCATTTTTGTTTTTGTACTACTTTTTGTCCATTTTTTGTTTAATCTGTTTTCTTTATTTGTTCATGCAATTTTTAAAAATCAATCATCCATTCATCTATTTCTTAATCAATAAATGAAAAACCAACGTCTACAAAAATTTCAGATTTCATTAATTACAAAGAATAAACATTGTCTCATTCTTACTTTTACAGTTTTTGATATTTTCACGCAATTCGGTTACAAACATAGTTTGGCTCATTTTTAGCTAAGCCGAAAAAATGACTTAAAAATCCATTTTTGGCTGATCTACAGTAAGAAAAAAATTTGGTTGACAGCGCCACCGACGGCGGCTTGGCAGTCTTAATTATGTAATTTTTCGAAGTATATGCAGTCACTGGTGTAGACTGAAATTTGTGGGTTTATTCCACATTTTTTATTTATTTATTTTTTATTCATTTATTTATTTATTACATTTTTCTTTTCAATATTTCTCAGTGCATGTTAAAAAACGCAAGACAAAGCATCGCTCACATTGCACGTGATAGGCGACGATCTCTTGCAGTTGAATCCGGTCACTACAATGACGGTGCCGGCACCTCACCGTTACATCATTGCGTTATTTTGTACAACTTCTCATGAAAATTTACATGAAAATTACCAAACGTTACTGTTGTAAGAGACTGAAAGAGTTTATGTTGAAATGTACACAAAGATTTTGTTAAATTCAACTTTTTATTTTGTTAAATTCAACTCTTAATGAAAATTTCATTGTAACGACATTTTTTGGCTACGCTTTCGCTGTAGTGCACATGAATTATTTATAAAAACTTATCATGAAAAAATTTAAATTTTGAATATTTTAAAAAAGGAGAACATTTATTATACTGTAACAGCAAAAAAACAACAGCCACAAAAACAAAAACAGACACAACAACGACAATAAAAAACAACAACAAAAAACAACAACAAAAACAACAACAAAAAACAACAACAAAAACAACAACAAAAACAGCAAAAAAACACAGCCACAACAACCACAATAACAACCACAACAAAAACAACAACAACCACAACGATGCAGATCACAGCAAAGAAACAGCTTCATGTCGATTCGAAAGTGGCTGGCAAGGGGTTTGGAGTTCAGACATGAACAGCAACGAAAAGATAATCATCAGCAACAACATCATCAGCAACAACATCAACAGCAACAACTTCATGAACAGCAACAAAAACATCAGTATCAGAGGTTTCTGCTATCAACGATACCAGCAATATTATCTCATTGAAAACAGGTGTGTGTCTGTTTGTGTTTGCCTCACCTCTCTCATGTTGTTCCTTCTGTTGTTGTTAATGTTGCCAGTGAAACCGCGTGATTGAGAACTTTGCATATGTTTGATGGCCCGCATTGCTTTGCTGTTAACAGCGGGTTATTTTTTCAGAAAATTTTCAGTTGTCAGTTTCAGCCCTGTGAACAAACAATGTGTACTCTACTTATTTATTTGCATTCTCTTGGTAAATATCGTTGTTATAAAGCGCATGCATTTTCTGTGAACGTTGAATTTTAATGTTGTTAATGATTTGAAATGTCTTGTTAGTGAAGCATTAATTTTATTAAAAGAGTCTAACATGCTATTCGTTGTTGGGCTTTTTTTTATTCAAAAGACGTTTATTTATGATTTTTGGGCGCGCGATTTTTCTTCTTTATGACAAGTTGTGTGATATCATTGTTTTGTAAACATTAATACCATAATTGTGTACACTGTAAGATCGGAGCACATAGGTCTGTAGCAATTTTATTGCTTTTATTTTCATTTCATTCAACGATTTTACTTGATGCCCCATTATTATGGAACAAAAATAAATTGTTTTTTATTAATTTTATACCCATGCCTAAGAATCTTTCTAGCAGTTGGCCAAGCAGCTGGCCCACCTGTTGGCCCAGCAATGGGCCTAACAATTGACCCAACAGTTGACTCAGCAGTGGGCTTTATAAATTGTTTTAAAATTTATTGCCTTGCTTACTGTTCGGTTCTATTGACTTTTTTATTAAATGTAAACGTAAACCACTTTGAAATGAATAGAACAAACATAGCGCAACCATCAAAATTTAATTACATTTTCTACATCATCTCTGATTTCCTAAGTAATAAAAAACACAAACAAAAATATGAAATGTATGCAAACACAAGCGCGTGAGTTTCTGTGAAAATAAAATAAGGCAAAGTTCCATATGTGGATGAGTTTAATTGATTACAGTATACACCATCATCAACGTCATTTTTATCATCATCGACTATATCAGCTCTATCATTATTATTATAAGCATGAAACAGTCCATATTGATATTATTATGATGACTTGTCTCCACACACTCACATACATTTTTCCTCCCCCAAGCCATTCAACATCATTTCATATCTCCATACACTTGCATTGATATTCCTATCAAAATTTAAGACAACACACATTGTACAGGAATTAGTCATTTTAGGAATTTTTTATAAAGTTATAATAACAAAACTTGGGAATAAACAAAAACATTATTTACACAAATAAACATATATATGTAAATTTATATATTAATACGCTGTTGTTGTTAACGCTCAAGACGACTTGAAAAATTTCGTTTGGCGAGCTTTATGTTGTATATGGAATGAATTTGATAAAGTTGAGTTAATAAACACCCTACTCCTCAATTTTCTCATTCCTTATTTTTCCATCTCAAAGTTTTCTCATTTCCTATTTTTTTCATTCCTCATTTTTCTATTTCCAACTTTTTTCTAGTGATATCAAACGAAAAACATCTTACCGGTGATAAAGCTTTTCTGTCTAAATCCTCGATGGGTCTCCGAATGAATTGAAAGCAACGTCAAACAAAATTCTCCAACGCAGAAAAATTCTACCACTTTGGTATTGTGATAATGTGTGTAGAGGCAGACGCTATAATAAACATTTGAAAATGACTAATGTCAGCGTTTTTTTTTGCTATTCCAAAAAATAATTTCAAACCTGACTCACCCCTAAATTGCAAACAAGGCCATGATGGCCAAACTCGTTGGTGGTTGCGTTGCACTTGCAATGGAAAACGTTTTAACTGCCAAGTTGAGTCTGAATGTTTTGTTATCGCTGGCGTCCTACACCTACGGAAGTGTTTGGCCAGGATTTGAGTCAAGCACAGCTTGCTAGATTGAAGGCAGCATATAATTGGGCCATGTTGAGAGGACCATAACAGGAAGTCAAAAATGTCTGAAAGGAGATTTTGTGTAACTTTTCAAGTAATTTATTTTATAGAAATTTTACTTTGAAAACTGGTTTAATAAAGTCGCTTTCAGCATGAAATTTTGTTTGTCAGTGAAGCTTCCTAACTGTAGTTTTTCCGCATCAGGATACGAAAAATTGGCAGCAATCGATGTTAAACTATCAACTCTCTGAAGCAGAAGAGAATTGTGTAAAGTTTATCAAATTAATTAATTATTGAGTGCTTTTGAAAAGTTTTTAAAAAACGCTATATAAATATTGTTATATTGTTATAACTGCCCCGGTCGACGACGAGTTCGTTTTTTAATCCCAGGAAAAAATAAAGACAATATAACTTCAAAATTATTAATTTAATTATTTACAAAACAATAGTTAATTAATTAATTAATCAACAATCAACGCTAATTAATTTTACTAATAAAAGTTAATGTTCACAAACTATCAAATTAACGTTCAGAAACTATCGCTTTCCGAATAACTATACAATAACGTTTATTGCTAATACAATAAAAACACAACGCAAAGTCAAATATTAATTTTCGCTTTCCACACTAATAAATCAATCGGTTTCTAATATCAAATAATCAACAACAACCATTCAATATCCCGCATGCCTTTATAGACCCGTCTTACCGACGCTTCTCGAACGTCCCAGATATCTCGCCGTCTCAAGGTTCTAGCTCCTCCTCGAACTGTATGCGCTCGTAGCGACACTAACTCTCTAACAATTATATTTGTGACGATTATAACATTATATTTGTATATAATTTTATAAATTTATCTCAAATAATTGAAACTATCTGTGGAACAATCTGTTACAGCAGTACTACCCAACACAGGCACGGCAAACACAAATGTTAATCATAATTTAAAAGGCTGTAACAAGGCAAAATTTGAAGCAATGAGTTTTGTTTTGCAGCGATTAAGTTGAAATTCAAGAAATCTTCGTGCACCTACTGTCCGCGTTGCTGTGTGTTGTTGGTTCCTCTTCATAGCACGAAAAATTACTTTGATCACAAATATTTACAAATAATATGAATTTCAAATTAAATCATAAAACAGATGTTTGTTTAACGACTGAAAATGTAAAGTTACAAGCAGCTGAAAATTTGTTCTTATTTGTTATAACAACTAAAAATGCTTATGTATACGCAAACATTGTAGTAATAAATAAAATTAAAACATGAAAATGACATTCAAAAACAAATAAAAAACATTGCTCAAACAGTAGTGGCAACATAATTATGTTTTGTTATTAACTTTGCAGAAAGCCAATATTTTAGGATAGAATAATTAGCTTCGTCATCCTTATTAGCAGTATAAGCAAGATCATCATTAAAGTTCTTTCGTGTTCAATGTCGTAATCATTATTTTCTTGTTACCAACATCATCATCATCATCATCCTTCACCAAAATATGTTACATAAATATGCTATCATAGAGTGCATTCATCATTTTAAAAACTAATGTTTCGAATAAATAAATGGACGAATATATTTTGAGGAACTTACTTTCCAAAATTAACTAGCATAAAGACATCAACATTGATAGCGCGTTGAAAAAGACTACCAACATATATGAATAGAAACATGTTGTGACATGTATGTCATCATCATTACAATATCACGACAGAAAACTGATGAACATATTTTGACAAAACACAGTTAGGCGAGCTGTGAAGCATATTGCGAAAAAAAAATTATTACAATGTATTCGTCTTTTGTCGTCGCAAGAACAAAAAGATATTTTGCATTTGAAGACTATTTTTAGTCGTTGCTTCAGTTCAAACATATTTTATTATTAATCATTTGTAACTTTATGTAAAATTTTATTTTGTTTTTTTTTTCTTGTTCGTAGCCAGATTTTATAAGAACTCTTCAAATTTCAATCATTTATAAAAGTGGAGCATTTTTAGTTATCAGCTCCGTTAGGCAACTAAACAATTATTCACTATCTTAGTATCGGAACAACAACCACCAATCATCTTTCATCATTTCAACTGCGCTAACACCAATCAAAGTCAATCAAAGACTCTAAAAAAGATTCAAGCATCTATTGAACATATTATAAACACTAGAAACATTTTTAATTGTTCCATGTGATGTTCTTCGTTATACATACATCGTTTTGGCAATCCCTTGTTGTAGAGCGTGTAGAGCTTAATTGATGAAGTTGAATAAAAGTTAAAATAAAAGTCGAAATGAATTCAACTTTTAATGAAAATAATGAACTTTGCACATTATTTAGCTTTGCACATTATTTATTTCTGCTGTTATTTCGGTTTCAGCGTAAAATTATAATTTATTTCATTAATGATTCATTCGCATTTGCACTTTAGCCAGGGGTCGGCTACCCGGATGAAGCTGCAGAAACTGCAGGATGCTCTGATATATTATATTATCTTATATTAAGCTGCTTTATGTCTGTAAATTTGCTGTCTCGTCGTGGACTACTTTCTTAACTTAACTACCATTATAATTACATACCTACTTTAACACAAATCTATACACAACCTATATTTACTTATACCTCCTAACCTAAATTATCATCTACATAATAGCTACGTTATTTTATTTCGCAGATGTTTTGTAGCATGTGCCAAAGACATGAACACAATCATTCGTTGCACATTTTCCAGATGAAAATTTGTTTAAAAATGTTTCATTTTTTGTTGATTTGTTTCCAAACTTCTTGAACAACCACATCATAAACCAACAGCGCATTAAACTTCTTTATCCTCTTACTTGCAAGGAAGATATATGTTTATTGGTCTGAAAGGCACAATTATGCCCCCCTGATGACCAGTTTGTGTCCTACTTTCATTATGCACGCTTTTTTGTAAAACCTGTTTCAATATTCTTAATAGTTCAACAAATTGAGTTTTTTTGAAGCAACTACAATATGAACCGAATTTTCAAAACAAAACTGTTTATTAATACAACTTATTATCTTAAATGTACTTTAACCATTAACAACCAAGAATGTGAATGCATATTCGTGTATATATGATGCATAATTTGAGTAATCTTTGTTAAACATTTTTCCGAATATAAATTAAACAGTAAATGTTTATGTAAAAATTATATAAATGTGAAAGCAACAAAAATTTTCAGCCATCCTTCTAATATTTTTCTCAGATTTTGAATCTGGCTGTACGTTCCATCAAGAACTTTTCACGTAAAAAATTATTCAAAAGTCATTCATGTTTTAGCGAACGTGAATGAATGTGCAAAAAGTTTATTAAACAACAAAAAATATTTTTCAAGATAATTTCAAACTAACAACAAAAAATTCAGTTTTTTAGCAAAACGTTAATTTCACGCCAACTAAATATTTTATAAACAAGAACTTGAAAAAGTTGTGCAAAACTAAAAACGAACCATGATTTTATAAAATCAATTGATGAAAATAATTTGGATTTAATTAAATTCAATTTTTAAGACTCTAAAATAAACTTGTATAGAAGGATTTACAAGAGTTTAAAAATATTAGTTAACCGACATTAATGGTTGCAATCGACCGTTGAAATTTTATTCAAGTCTAATGTAACTTAATTTAAAAAAAGTAAAATTGATGGCCATCAAGTGGCCTACTATGCCTGACGTCTTCACAACCTAATCAATATTTGCCAATCCAGTAAAAAAGTAAAACTTTATGTGAGTAGGATAATGCAACTATTGCTACAAAATTATTAACCACGTTTTTATGTTATAAAGTTTTACTTTTGTAAGGTTGGAATGAACAAAGTTGTCTCAATGAAGCTCTCAACTCAAATAGGTTGAAATATTTGTTGTCTGCTGAACGGACACCCAACATAAACCGCTTCAATAAGCTGGCTGCAAACATGTAGATGGATTACTATTATTATTATTACTATTATTATTTATTGAACACTTATGTAGTTCTTTTATTAACGACGTTAACCTGTACATAATGGTGTTATTGAATATAATGTTTCTTAGCAGCAACTTTTGAGATGAACTAATAAGAAATTTCTGTAGTTAAAATTGCCTCAAGACTCAAGTGATTACTCTGGCTGTTTACAATGGCTGTTTTGAAGCGGTAAAATAATGAGATGTTAAGTAGTGTTTGAATATCCATCTGATTACCACCAATTCTTTACTAGTTGTCTACCCTCCCCGCTCCCTTCAAACGCCACTTTGATCACTCATAACATCAACTTTTTTAGCATATAAAACAAATAATCTTATTCCTGCTTTGTATTTCCGCGTGCATTTTGTGTGGTACAGCCAATAAATTGTCAGTCTAAATAAAATGTTTAAAAGGATCTATGGAGGAACGATCGGTTGGTTGGTTGGTTGGTTGGTTGGATGACTGGTTAATTGACTGGCTGGCTAGCAAGTTGGCTGGCTAGCAGGTTGGCTGGCTAGCAGGCTGGGTTGGTTAGTTGGTTGGTTAGTTAGTTGGATGACTGGTTGACTGACTGGTTGACTAGCGGGCTTGCTGGCTGGCTAGCAGGCTGTCTAGTTTTTTGGTTGGTCGGTCAGCTGGTGTTTTGGATGTTTGGTTGATTAGTTAACTGATCGAATAGATCGATGATTGGATAGAAAAATGAATGAATGGATGGACGTACGTACGGACGGATGGATGGACAAATGGATAGATAAAGGGATAGATATGAAATCTCGTTCTTTTAACAA